TATTTAAAAAAACCTAATTATTTATAAATAGCTTATTTTACAATTCAAACTAAACTAAATTATAAAATAATAAATAGTAAATAAAAATAAAATTTTTAATATTAAAAAAAGTCACTTTTATTTAATCATTATAATTATAAAATCTAATACAATTTGCACCGGCCAAACACTTTTCGCCTAGTTGTTAAGGAATGTGCCATCTTCCAAGCCTTATTTACCCAAAAAAACTTGAAAAGTGGTCTTGAAACTTGAAAGGAAGGGAACCAATAAGCAGAGGTCAACAAGTCAACTGATATGGACTTTTCAGTAAAATCCTTAATTAAAGTTGGAATTTGAAGACGGTGTCCAAAATTGGGATAAGTGGGCTAATGTTTGTTGGACGCCCAGTTTTCTGAGAACCCATGAGCTCTATTAAAGTAAACCCACATTAAAATTTTATGAGAGAACAGATATCCCCAATTGGGCCTGGTCAAATTTTTTAAGTTCAGCTATAGAAAATCAGTGACTCCTAAAAATTACTGAGAAAAAGTGCGTGCTTTTGAAGCACGGGGTTGTCTGGAAAAGTTTTTAAAATAAAATTTTTTTTAACAAATATAAAATTTTATGAAAGAAAATATAAAAGCTAACCTTTAAAATAACATTTAAACAAATCTTGAGAAAATCACACATTCGAACTTTTTTAAAATTTGTTTAAAAGTATTTTTAAAAGTTAATTTTTTTAAAAAATTTTTGATAAAATATTAAATTTATGGGACCAAATTTTATTTTTAAAGTCAATATTTTTCTTAAGTTTTGCCGAATACTCTTTAAATGTGTACTAGATTCTAAATCCAACCGCCTTCGTTTTGCAAACATCAGATATGGCACACTCCATTCTTAGGTAGCATTCTAGACGCATCATGGGATTAAAATACATTAGCAACATATAATTTTGATCTGCAATTCTTTGTGTTGTTTTTATAAAATTTGTCCCGCCATAGATAACGTTAACTATCTATTGGCTAACTGTGACACAATACGGAGACAGAAAATCTTTGCTCTTGCCCTGGAGACTGATCTGATGTTGTCTTTCTTTCCAGGAATGCAGGTTGCTTCAGAGCAGGAAGGTTAACATTTTGGCAACTAAGCAATGAAATTACCTCGGACATTGTTGGCCTATCTTCTGCAAGTTCTTGCGTGCATAGCAGTGCAACATAGATCACTGCATCTATCAATGCCAAAACGTTGTCCGATCCATTCCACAATCTCCAGCCCTAGCAAGTACTCACATTAGGCCAGGTACAAAACTGAGAGTTAATATATTACAGTAATATGAATCAGCTAGTTAGACTTGCTTACATTTTCTAAGAGGCTTATAGAATGCTCATCATTATAGAAGCTTATGTTTCTTCCTCCGCAAACAATCTCCAAAACCAATATGCCAAAGCTAAAAACTTTGGATTTCTCTGAAAACTGCATTTCATAAATGAAAAAATTGCATTACTTTTATGTAATGAAAGTTAGTCTCATAGAAGACTGAGAATTAGAGAAGGAAGCAAAACATGGCAGCTTACTATGTTCTGGCGACCTTTCTAGTGTTCACTTGTTCTCCATTGTTGCAAAACCCCTTGCTATTTCAAAGTCAGAAATTTTTGGATTCAGTTCTTGATCCAATAGAATTTTACTTGGCTTTAAATTAAATCCCTATGTATGATTCACAATCTAGAATCTCAATGAAGATAAAGGAGACCTCAACTGATTCCTTCTATAATGCTAAAGCGTTTTCTCCAATCCGGAAGTTTTTGTTTCTGCACATCTGTGACAATTTCAATGGTTATAAAAGGAGCAAAAATAGCTAAAGATAACAGGAAG